CTAATTCCCTTCCAATTTGAAATTCAAAACCCTAATTTATCACTCAACGTCACCTTAATTCCATGCCTAAATTCTTTTTTTTTTATTTCTCACTGCGATCCCCAATTCAGTTCCATGGAGGACGATACGTCGTCCTTCTCCTACCACAAGCTCTGTGACTTCCTTTACGCCGTTCTTACTGTCACTTTCTCCCCGGACCACCGCCAAATCCCACCCTTCGGCACATGCTTCTGAATTTCCCAATGCGACATCAATTTCACTTCCCAAAACGACGTCGTCCTTACCCTCATTGACCCAGTTCCCAGCGCTGATGTCTCGGCTGAGGAGCTCAAGCAATGTGAGGTTCCAGTATGGAAATTGGGGAGGAAGAGAAAGGTCCCGGTAGTGGCGGAGAGGAAGATTGGGATGAGGAGGAGCATGAGAAGCATAGGGCTGGTGCACGGAAGCATTAGCGTGGTGCACCAGCTCCACGCATTGGTTGTGAACAAGTGCTTGAGGATCGATGCTCGATTGGTTCGGGTAGAGGCCGAAGACAGTGGAGAGGTCAGGGTTGTGGTGCTGGTCGATGTCTATCTCCCTATTGCAATGCTGGCTGGTTGGTAGTTCCCGAGATCAGGCTCCGTTGCCGGAACTCTGTTTCAACATTTGAGTTCTGACTGGGGAGAAAGAAGTGCAATGCTCATCAATGGAGATTATCTTGAAAGTACTCTATGAGCTGACAGAAGCATATGGAATTTTTACGATTGTCATGTTTTTGGTTGCAAGCTGCATCATGACTTCACTGATTCTTCGTTTTCTTCCCGTCGGCCATTTCCAGCTCAGAAGCTCCCAGTCAGAGTCAGAAGCTCTTATTTTCCCTCGAAACATTCATTTTTTATTCGTGAGTCTAGGGAATATTCTTGGATGGTGTAACATCTTGTCATCTGGTTCAGTGTGCCATCTCCTTTAATCATTGCCTTCAATGCACAAAAGCAAGAAAATCATCAACCAGCTCTGAGAAAGCAAAAATGGAATAAAAGAAAGAGGAAAGAGTTGGAGAGTAACGTGCAATCTGCTGTTAAGTGGGCTTGCTGGATAAATGAACATAATAGAAAAAGAAAAAAAATCATGATGTTGTTGAGAGAATGTTTCAGAAAAAGAAAAAGAGGAAGAGTAGAAAACAAAAGCGAAAGCAAAGCAGAAAAAACCGAGAAAAAGCAGAAAGCAAAAGGGAAGCTTTCCTCTGCGAGAGCACATGGGGACACTGTAAAAGCAAGGAATAAACCCCTCCACCAGAATGATGTGATTTACTTTTCTTGTTTTTGAATGATGTGATTTATTTTTCTTATCTTTCGGAGACATCTGTATAACCCCATCAGAGGGTAAAAAAAAAAAATGGCAAGCCCAAAGTAATGGGCTGGAATGTTATGTGGAGGGCGAAGACCCATATGCCCAAAAGAGCCAGGTCCTCTATTATCACCAACCAGATGATCAAAAGTACGCCCAGTACTCTAAAATTATTCCGCGTGATCAAAAGTACGTCCAATACTCCAAATTTATTCGGCACCCTACTGCTATTATCACCAACCAGGTGATCAAAAGTACGTCTAGTACTTCAAATTTATTCGGCAGCCTGCCGCTATTATTACGAACCAAGTGATCAAAAGTACGCCTAGTACTCCAAAAATTATTCGGCAGCCTGCCGCTATTATCACCAACCAGGTGATCAAAAGTACGTCCAGTACTCTAAAATTATACATGAGCACCACTCATGTCAATCATACATAAACATTCATGAGCATCATTCATGTCAATCATACATAAACATTCATGACCATCACTGATGTCAACATTCATGAGCATCACTCATGTCAACATCCATGAGTATTACTCATGTCAATCAACATAAACATTCATGAACATCACTCATGTCAATCAGCTTCGAAAGCTTAATTTATAGAGTTCCAGCTTCGAAAGCTTCATTTACAGAGCTCTAGCTTCAAAAAGCTTCATTTACAAAAGCTCCATTTTTGGAAGCTTCATTTACAAAGCTATGACTTCAAAGCTTCACTTACAAAGCTTCAGTGCATGATATACAAAGACCGCCTCCAAACAACCTCCACTTCGGTCCATACATGGATTCAATTTGAAGTTTCCAGCCAACATACTCTATTGACTGAAGACTTGGGGGACTACACTATGTACCATATATTGGGCTTCCGCAACTGGGCCTCATGAAAAATACTTGGGGGATTTAGCCCATTATTTATGTATTGAGGAACGAGCCCTTATTTTATAAAAGGGACTCCTTCACCATCATTAGAGAGCATCAACTCTAGCCCATTATTTATGTACTGAGGAGCGAACCCTTATTTTATAAAAGGGACTCCTTCACTTTCATTAGAGAGCACCCATTATTCATGTACTGAGAAGCGAGCCCTTATTAAATAAAAGGGACTCCCTCACTTTCATTAGAGAGCACCCATTATTCATGTACTGAGGAGCGAACCCTTATTTTATAAAAGGGACTCCCTCACCTTCATTAGAGAGCATCGCCGCCAGCTGAGCAACCGCTTCGCCGCGAGCATCACTTTTAACCCATCACTTATGTATTGAGGAGCGACCCCTTATTCTATAAAAGGAACTCCCTCACCATCATTAGAGAGCATCGCCGCCTGTTGAGCAACCGCCTCGCCGCTAGCATCAACTCTAACCCATCATTTATGTACTGAAGAGCGAGCCCTTATTCTATAAAAGGGACTCCCTCACCTTCAACACCACAAGCTGAGCCAACCAAGGCAACATAAGACACAAGCAGAGCAACCTTGCAACATGTGCTACTTATAGTTGAGCATCATTTCAGATTGAGCACCGTCTCATATCGAGTATCAGTTCAAAACGACATCTAGTTACTTCGGCCCACACATAGACTGAATTTCAAGTCTCCAGCCAAAAAACTCTCTTGACTGAAGACTTGGAGGATTACTGTTTGTACCATACTTAGGGCCTCCGTATTTAGACCTTTATAAATAATTGAGGGACTCCAATGTAATTATGTAATAAATGAATGGACAAATATGTAATAAATGAAAAGCCCTTATTTTATAAAAGGGACTCCTCACCTTCATAATGGGAAGAGTCCTATCACCCTCAGAGGCTCTCTCCCTCACAATCCTCTCACAAATAGAGAAATACAATATTAGTGTGGACGTAGCCCAAACATTGGGGTGAACCATGATACATCTTGTGTTCTTTACTTTCTTGCAGATTCACGGTCGGATTTACGTTGTTCCAAGATCCCTCCGATTTTGTGCATCAACAAGCGTCATCACCAGATTCTCCACGAAGAACACTGTGTCGTTGTCGCCAAACACGAAAAGTGGGAGGTATCACCCGAGATGACGACCGGAGTGACAAACTTTTCGTCGAAAGAGTTGATTGGTGCGCGATCAAGAAACGCAAAGGTGCGGGTGGAGGCAGGGAGCACCAGAGAAGAAGGTAGGGCTCGCGGTGGGACCAGGAGCGGGAGGAGGCGACGACGAAGACGAGGTGGCGGCACGTGGTAGAGAAGGAAGTGTAGATGGAAAGAAGGGCTGGCGGCTCGTGGAGGAAGATGAAGTAGAGGTTGAGGAAGACGGAGAGGAATAACATGAGGGCTTTGAAGCGGGCGAGGGTTAAGGTTCTGGGCATTACGGACGGGAGGGAGAGAGAGAGGTATCAATATTGGATTGCTTTGCAGGCGGAGTTGGTTTTTCGTTTGATTTTATGGTACATTTAAAAAGTTACAGCGAATATGATGAAACAGTCGCAGTCGTGAAAAGAATGACGATGATTGAAGAAGAAGCTGATGAATTCATTTGTGTGTTTTTAGGGTTTTTTTGTTTTTTAAATATTTTTCAATTTTTATTAATTTTTTTAATATCCATGTAGCGCTCAGTCATTGTCCATGTGGGCACCACATCATCAGTTAACGATTGATTTAACAGCAACCTTAAAGGATGTATGAAAGTGTCCCAAGATTATGACTTTAGGTACTATTCTGGGATGAAAAAAATTTCATGTACTAAATATTGAAAACCATAAAACTTCCGGATAGTAAACTGAGATTATCCCTTATTTCAAATTTCGGATATGATTTTTAATCAGTCTCGTTGTACCACATTTCATTAAATAAGAAATTACAACCCAAAGTATTTGAGAAAATATAAAATTATGATGTAAGTGGAAGATAATGATATGATATTTATATAAAAATTAAATCTTTTTTTATTTTTTTCGGATTTTTCGGATTTTTTTATTAATTGTTTACATTTTTTTTTACATTTTTATTGCTTTTTTTCATTTGTTATTAATTTTAACTAATTTTATAATGTAGCTGATGTCATACTGACGTCAACTTTGCATCATGTGGCCTCAGGCTCTCGGGCCACCAATTCGAGCCTGGCCTCTCACTCGGGCCTCCCTCGAGCCTAATCGCCTGCATGGGCTGGAGCTACTAGCTGGGGCAATTGGGTTGGAGCAACAGCCAGTTCACCGGGCTATTGAATACGGTGGAGCTGCTTTTAGTTATGTTCTTTTCCAACGTCTAATTCCAATTAAATAAAAAGTTGATTTTTTTTTTCGTTAAAAAAGGTTCAAATATATTTACCCTAAAACATTCAAAGTTAAATTAATTGGTCTGAAGTCCTTTTCCTCCTTTGTCCTTGTGTACTATGTACATAAATTTGCCTGTGTATCAGACACGTAGCTCAGAATGCTAAACGTAGTAATATAATTAACTATAATTATTATTTTGCGGCAGTTAAACTTGAAAGAAAATAACTTTTCAACCAAATAAATTGTATTAGACACTTTATTATATCAAATCGTGTGCCTACACATCAAAATATTCTCAACGTCCCCCACCTCAACACCCCACCATTCCTCTAATTTACCCTTTTCACCCCTCCTTGACCTCCGCGCCCGGGCCCACAGCTCCCACCCTATAAATCTCGACGCGGAGGACTTAAAATTCTCGTGTCGACAGGAGCCCAAAATCGTCATTCAACCTGGCAGACTGGTGAGAGAATAGAAGAGAGAGTTAAGAGACAAACGTTTAGGAGTTTTTAGAGAGAGAGTGTGTGTCCTAGAGAGAGAGAGAGAGAGAGAGAGAGAGACTCGTGGAGGGTCGCGGTGTGCGATGCGTGGAGGGCAGGTGCTGAGTGCCCAGACAGAGAAACACCGAGATCGCGCTCTTGAAAATGGCGGATCGTCATCCCAAACTCTCAATACTCTGAACCAGCTTTCATCGTCTTCCTCGTCGCTCTTCCCAGATCACCGACTTGCAGGTCCTCTCTCTCTCTCTCTCTCTCTCCTCACATTGTCTGCAATTCTCTCTCTCTCTCAACGGCATTGCATCGAATTCTCTGTCTCTACCCATCCCTTTCATTTTTTTCACGTGCTCGTACCATCACATCGTCACGGGTTCATGATTACTGTGTCAAATTTTGAATTTTGGTTTAAGCATTTCGATTTTGGTAATTTGACAATGATGTTTGTTTGAGTTTTTGCAGAGATGGCTGAGGCGGCGAAGGTTCTGTACATCGTGGTGGTGGACGAAGAGGACAAGAGAGAGAAAGGGAAGGAGTCCTTTCGCTATACGCGTCCTGTTTTGCAGAGTTCTCTGCAACTCATGGGCTGCAAGCCCCGCCACGCCTTCAAGGTATCGAAAAAGTTTTGAATTTTGAAATTTCTGTGAAATTTTAGAACTTTTTGGCTTCTGGGTTGTGTTTTTGGTGTGGATTTGTTGTTGAATTCATTGATTTTGGGGACAGATCTGTCGTTGCATGTAATGTGTTCTGGGAATGTTCTGAATTTGTCAATTTTTGAAGGCTTGAATGTTACATGTTGGTGTTGCATGTTTAGGTGAAAGAATTCTTTTAAATTTCGGGTCAACGGAGGCATATCGGAACTGGTATTTTAGTCAGTGAATTAGTCTTGGTTGTGCAATTGGCGTTCTATAGAGTCAACCTTATGAGTCATTATCACAGATTAAGTCCAGCTTCTTCTTAATTTGCTTTTCAAAAAGGTGGGTTATGACCGTTATATTGTTCTTGTGTCACCTTCGACTTGACCTGTTAAAAACTATTCTTCTGGTGGAGGATTTGATTATTATTGTTTCTGAACCATCTTAACTTGTGATCTTATCATCCTGTTCTCCATTTTACTTTTTATTTTTTCCTTCAGTTTTGGTTCTTTGGGAAGTTACATTTTAACAGTTGACCTTTTTAGTGGATCTCTAACCAATAATCTCTGTTGACGTACATTGTTATGAGAGTGTTTAATTGTCAACTCTAGAAGAACCTTAATTTTGAAATTTCCTGGTTTAGAAAGATCTCCCGTGTTGTGTTTCATGTGTTTGACCAATGTTTTGAGGGTTTGTTCAATCTGGATGTAAAAGGGGGTTTGTTTTATGCGAGAAACCCCTTGAACTTTGCTTACGTGTTGAGTGGTGTGGAATAAGGGAGAGTGGAAACCGTTTTAACTGAATGGGAGTTCCATTTAGGTTTGTTGTGTGCGAGAACTCCCTTGAACTTTGGCTATGTGCCGAGTGTTGTGGAATAAGCGAGAGGGTAAACAGTTTGATTGAAAGATGTTCTATTTAGGTTTGAATATAATCTATGCTTTTCTTTGCTGTTTATAATTTGTTTCTTCTAGCTGTGGTAATCTCAGGGATCATGCTTTTTAAAGCGTTGAAATGTGTGGAACAGTACTAGATTCACTTTCCATTAATCTTGTATGTGATTTGTGTGTCTAAGGAGCTTTATGTTTCAACATCATTCAAGAATATGCATTGTTTTAGCGATGTCTACATTAACTGAATGGATCTGTAAACTTTTATCTCCTAATCAACTTTTGGTTCCAGTATTTAGTTTGTAAGACTCCATTGTAGCATTGTACAATAGCTTTGGTGCTTTAGTTTAGTTCTTTATAAAGTGATTTCTTTATTGTGTTTTGGTGTAGGTATGGTCTTTAGTTTTATTTAAATAGGGTTCATGACCCTGCTTAAAGCGGGAGCCTTGTGCACTGGGTACGACCTTTTAGGGTTCATGTGGGTCATTTGGTTCATTATTAGAATAATCTTTCTGATGATAGTGTATTGTGATGTTTTTTCGGATTGTACTGATTCCCATGTTTTATTTTACTTTAGAAATTTAACCACTAATGCCTGACCTATTTTTCCTTTGATCAGATTAGCCAACGGGTTTTCGAATTGATAAGAAATGAGAGTTCATCTAATGTCTTGCTGCCAGAAGGAACAGAAAATGTTCCCCCTAGTAAAGATGAGGCTGGAAACCATTTGGGTTCAGGGAAAGATGATAGAAGCAAGAGTGTTCCTTTTGAATTGTACAAAGCACGCACGACTGTTGTGGTTAGGAGAAAAACCTTCTTAGATGTTGTTTGTGATGCTCTGGCTGAGTACAAGTATGTTGGTCCCAACCAGAGGGCAGACTTAGCTTTGGCATGCAGGTATGGAGGAGTCTTTTATCTTTATTTGAAATAAATGGAACTTACATACATGCATTCATATATAAACTGCATTCTGTGAATAGTTTCCCTTTCCTGGCAATCTTTGCTTACATTGTGACAATTATTTCACATGCCGTGTTAACATTATGCTTTGAATGAAATATGGAAACACATATTTTATAAGCCATAACAGTGTGGAAATGTTTATGGTAACATTACTGTATGACTTATCAGGAATGTTTTTGAACCTGTAAAGTAACCGTGATCTTTTGAACTGTTTCTGTGGACCAGTGACATAATAATTAGTTATTTTTGTGTTACACCAATCAATTGAGTTCTAGATTATAGATGGAGGGGTTTTCGTAATGCAGCTAGAATGGGAAGATGAAATCATTGTAGATGTTGGGATTTTAAAAGGGAATATTCTGTCTTACTGTATGACCTTGTGATCTTTTTTTTTTTTGCCATCTTTAGAGTTATAATTTCTGCTAGTTTCCTAATTTTTATTTGGGTAATTGTTTCCTTGCAGAATCAGGGAAAGGAAGGAATCTGTGACTGTACTGTTGTGTGGCACTAGTGGCTGTGGAAAATCTACTTTGTCCTCATTGCTGGTATCCGAGTTCACTAGTTCTTTGTTTTCATGATTTCCTTTTGGGTTTTGTGTAGTCTTTAAGTGTTGTAATGATGTGCTTTTACTACGTCTTTTTAATGTCTGTAGTGTAGTATTTAAGTGTTGGATGATGTAAGTTTTATGTTCTGTTACGTAAATTTGTTTTGAATGTAATCTATAAAATTTTGCAGGGTAGCAGGTTGGGAATTACAACTGTGATATCTACCGACTCAATTCGGCACATGATGAGGAGCTTTGTAGATGAAAAGGAAAACCCTCTGCTATGGGCTTCAACCTATCATGCAGGGGAGTGTCTGGATCCAGTGGCTGTTGCAGAAGCCAAAGCTAAAAAGAAAGCCAAAAAATTGGCAGGAACTCCACACTCACTTCCCAAAGATGGGATGCCTGATGGCTCTGCCTTTGGGAAATCTGATACCCGATTGTCAGATGTCGGTTCGAGTACTGCTGAATTGATCAGCCCAAAGCAGATGGCTGTTGAAGGGTTTAAGGCTCAAAGTGAGATGGTGATTGACAGTCTTGATCGCCTTATCACTGCGTGGGAGGAACGGAGAGAATCAGTTATCGTGGAAGGTGTTCACTTGAGCCTTAATTTTGTGGTATGTGTCTATAATGATCTTTCCGTATGTTGTTTTGTTTTTTCGTTGTTAAATTTAGTTGCGCCTCTCCCTCTCAATAATTATTTGAATTCCAGATGGGGCTTATGAAGAAACACCCTTCTATCATTCCATTCATGATATACATTACAAATGAGGACAAACACATGGAACGATTTGCTGTCCGTGCAAAGTATATGACACTGGACCCAACAAAGAACAAATATGTGAAGTATATCCGTAACATCAGAACAATCCAAGAATATCTCTGTAAGCGAGCTGACAAGCATCTTGTCCCCAAAATTAACAATACTAATGTTGACAAGAGTGTGGCAGCCATCCATGCAACAGTTTTTAGCTGCCTCCGTAGGCGTGAAGCAGGGGAGCAACTTTGTGATCCCACAAGAAACACAGTTACTGTAGTGGATGAGGAGTATAGGAACCAGTGTGCAGCCAATTCTTTGAGTTCTAAGGGGATGTTTCAGCTGATCCAGAGAAAAGGTTCGTCTAGGCATTTGATGGCTCTTGTAAATACTGATGGATCTGTGGCCAAGGCTTGGCCTATTGATTCAGTTAATAGTAATGGGAAGCCTATATTTTGCCATGGGACTGAGATGGAGATTGGAACCGCAGAGCAAGTGAATCTTCAGTTTGGTCTCTATGGGATCAGTGCTTGGCCCAGTGATGGTGGACCTAGTTGTGCTGGAAGTGTTGATGAGTCGAGGGGTGAGGGAACTGAGATTGGAAGAAGTATTCCCTCTTCTTGCTGCAGCTCCCCACGGATGTCTGAGGGACCTGCCAAAGAGGTATTTTATAGCACCAATTTCATTTTCTCCAGAACCTCTTCTATGACAGTATTCTTAGGTAGGTGTAAGCTGAGACTTGCTTAACAAGTTATCTAAATTGGCGGATGAGTAATCGTAGAAATTAGTGGCAAAGGCCAACAATTTAACTGTCTGGACAATATAATAAGATTTGAACGATTTGTTCAGTTTAGTTTATCTTCTTGGATTTCTCGTTGTTTTCTTTCCTTCAGCTGAAGGAGGACAATTCAGTGCATGGAAGTGACGAAGAGGTTGAAGAAGAGGCTGATGTAGGCAGTGATGAAGAACTAAGTGATGACGGTGACAAACGACTGTATGAAGAGGTATAACAAATTGGTTTGTTTGAAATTCTAGACAATAACTTGAACTTTATCTACTGAGGTCATATATATATTATGAGCATTGCTATATTTAGGTCATGGTAAAGGTCCACACATACATGTGCGTGTGTGTACAGAACTTCTGATCTTAAATGAGGTTATATCTGATCAAGGCTAATAAATTTGGGGAACTTTGTATGTTTAAACTGATATAATCCTGGTTAGATCAGATGGGAGGTTGAAACTCAAAACTTTTTGCAAGAATTAATTGTTTAATCTTTTTACTATTGTGCAGATAGGGTCGGTGGATGAGGAGTCTACGAAAACGGATGAAGAGTATGATGACTTAGCAATGCAGGACGTGCAGGGAAATGGATACTGGTTGGAGAATGATGATCGGGGAGCTAATCACCCCATTTCTGAGGATCAATCAGCCGATAAAGAAGGGGATAAGTATCGCCAGAACCTGGATCTCTTCCTTAGAACTAGATCAGAGTCATTTTCTGAACCATTCTGCTCATACTCTTCTGTGTTTATTGAGAAGAATGAGCTTTCAATGCCGTGCTCTGGCAATATGAAAATTAGAAAACGCCGCTCCCTTAGCATTCCCGCCTTGGGAAGGCACGGGTCATTAGTCGGGGGTCCCATACTTTCGGGAGCCCCTCAGTGCTAACGCCTTAGTTTTTATGGACCTTAGTGCTCTCATCACCCTGTCATTTTCTCCCTTTCTCTTTGTAGCCCGCCCCTTTAGCGTATTTAGTGAACTTAAGTCCCCCGTATCTGTACAGTAATCTATTTAGGAAGTTGCAACGGAACGTATTATAGTGTACTCATTAGCTATGAATCTATGGTAGAATGAGAACATGATTTTATGAGTAGTATGGGATGCATAGAATGAGCTCAAGATTTTTGAGTTGTATGCTAAGCGCTATCTATGGGTTGAATACCGACTTTGTTTTTCGTGATTCTTTCTAGCAGGGATCGAGTTGGTTGTTTGTTCAATCTCTGTTCAAGATGTATTGCCCAACTATTCACCAAGATGCCGAGGCCAGAAAGGGGAGGATCTGCGTCCGAGTGAAAATGCGGATACAGAGATCCAGCTTACACATGCATTCTGCTTCGGTGGAAAAGCGTTTCCTTTGCGGTTTTCGATGGCAGATAAGAAAGATAGTTTTGGTTTTATTGCTTCACTGGCTCATAAATGAAAGGGATTGTTTTTTTTGTTTAACCTTATAATTGGTGGTGGAGAATGATATCGAACATTTGGCTTTATTAATCACAAGACCTCCCCATCTGTGAAACTCGATCAGCTCTTGGTTGATGGGCAATGCATTTTGCAGAGTTATCCTCGACAGTTGATTATCTGAAACGTACAACAACAATAACAAACACTCATGCCACTAACTAGAGTCGGCTGTACGAATCTTAGAATGCTACTGTGTTTGGTTTTGCGTAAGCTTCAAGTACCCTATGTTTCTTCTTAAAGTCTCTTTTCTTGGTTTTCTTTACCTTTTTTGTCTTGAGCCTGTCTCATAATCGCGTTTTTTAACCGGAGCATTTGCAGGTCTTTGTTATGCATGTTCACTCCGATTTTCTCTCATCTTTTCTTTAATCTTCTCATTCCTTGTGTGCCACGTATCCAACGAAGCATTCTCATTTTCACTACACTCATTTTTTGTACATGTTTATACTTGACCGCCCAACGTTTTGTACCATAAAATACTGTTGCCCTTATTGTTGTCCTATAAAATTTAGTTGCATACGCACAACATACTTGATGCACTCTTCCACTTCATTCAGCTTGTATTCAATGGTTGAGATCTCTATCCAATTTTTTGTTCTTTTGCAAGATAGATCCAGGATAACGAAAGCGTCACTCTTTGGTACTTCTTGATCTCCAACCTCACCCTTATCTCATTTGGACCCCTATTTCCTTTGAACTTGCACTATGTATACTGCCTTTGACCTACTTAGGCGAAAACACTTAGATTGTAACACTTCCTGCCAAACGTTAAGCTTGGCATTTACTCTCTCCTGTTTCATTTATCAACGCTCTATCATCTGCGAAAAGGATACACCAAGGGATATCTACTTGAATATATCCTATTAGCTCATCCATTACTAATGCAAAAAGTGAAGGACTTAAGTTGAGCCTTAGTGTAGCCCTATAGTTATTGAAAAACTTTCCGTTTGTCCTCATGAGTTCTTACTGTATTCTTGGCTCCATCATACATATCCTTTATTTCTTGGATATGTGCTACTCATACTCTTTTTTTCTTCTAAAATCCTCTAGAGAATTTTACTTTGAATTAATTATCAGAAACGTAGAATTTACGAAATCTTTTTAACAGGCAATTCGGTTGTTTACTTCCTCTCCTGTGTTAAAAGCTTAAGCGTGTTTGGGCAATAATAGTACTCGGATGAGGCTCACAGCAACTCATATTGCATTCCTCTGTCCGAAGTAGCAGGCTTGTGTTGTAGGTTGTAGAATCCCGGGGTGGGATCATGATATCAAATTTGTTTTAATACAGTTGTGTATTTTGAAGTCCAGCGTCAAGTCGGGTCTGGTCTTCGGCGTCGGGATGGGGGGAGTACAGAGTTTAGTCACGCAATGAGAGAGATATGAAGATGGAGCAAAAAATTGCCCCGGCCTGGATAGCGGAGTTTGTCTCTGCTAACGATGGTTACCATGCCGCTCCTCATTGGAGAAGGCAAGGCGAGGCATATTGTTGGGTTTCAAGTTGCATCAACAAAACAGGATACAAAATTCGCCAATGACTCCGAACCACTTCATCTCAATAGTATAGGGAACTTTTAAAATTACTTGTTTTGTTTTGCTTCTTAGTTTCGACTTGTGTGGATGGCAAGTTGAAATTAAATTATTATGATTGGCACATTGTGTTACTTAACTCAATTTCTCTACTTTTTAGTGTAAATGTTCGTTGTATTAAAAAAAATTGTTATATTTTGGTTGTTTTGAGTTGTTTATAGGGAAACAAAATGCGAAAGAGGGAGAATATTAGTGGGCGGAGCTAGAAATTAACTTCAAGGAGCACACTACTTGAATTTTAGCTCGAATCTCACTAAACCATTCGTAACTTAACTATTGTCACATAATTTCTTGGAACTCAACTTGTATCTCACTCAGCCTAACGTCATTTATAGTTTACAATTTAGCTCAAATCCTAACCTTTCTTTATGCACCATCCCATATATTTTTCATTTTAGTTTTCTGACTCAGCCCAGCCCAACTTAGAAGGAAACATTGTTCCAGCCTAGCCCAGTCCACATTCAAAAGCCTAGCCCAGTTTTGTCACTGATTAATTCTCTCATATACGGTGGGTCATACATAAGCCTTACTTGGTTTAGCTTCTACCATATTTTTTATCTTCTCACACACTCCTATTTAAACATGTCCGTTATTTTCGTTTGAGTTATTCATCTCCTTATATACAAGATTTGAACTTAAGACCTCTGACTCAACCGAAGTACTAAGTGACAATCTGTAGTATTTTCTTCGAATTGAACAAATAAAAGATTGAACAAATAAAAGAAAGCAAAAAACTGAGCTAACAACTCACTTGGAATAGTTTATAGAGAGGTCAAAACTAATCCAAAATTTGAAAGAAATAAGTTTCGAGAGATGGACATAGTGAAGCAGAGTCGAAGCAAAAGATGCAGACATGTTTGGGAAGAAATGAAAGACGGTAGAAATGCATACCTCAAAAGGAGCAAGCAAAGCACCATACTTGTTCTGAGGGTGCTCAGTCTTCCTTGTGTTTTGTCCACAAAACTTGAGAATCCGTGGTCATTTCATCCTCTGTGTGTGGTGGGCATCACATGTTTCATCAGAGAAACATGGAGTTCCACGCTACATAAAAGAGACATTCCTTGGAATATTCCATCCACATCTGTCAACTTGTCCTTCGTTTGGCTTAACTGTCACTACAAACCAAGCACAACACTAGGGGCGAAAAATGAATTGCAAACGACATTTTACTGTAGTGGTGGAAAATAATTATGTTTATGCATTATGGTGCCGATTCGATTCTCACCAATTACTTTCTCCCTTAATAATTAACTATTTAACCCACTGATGATAATGTTAAAAAAAAAGGGTGGAAGATGATTGTAAAATTTAATTTTAACTGGTTCCAATGCAAGAATTTTAATCAAATCCAACATTTGGTTTGAAAATGTGTGTTTAAAACGTTATTCTGCTCATACGACCTTTTGTTGTAAGTTTAAAAATTCATCTGCTTCTCGTAAACTCGCCGATTGGGGGCGTTTTCTGAAGAACTTCAAGTGCTTTTAATTCTTTTTGCCCAATATTACTTGAAAATATTTTCGTCATTCTAAAAGCAGTTCCGAATAAATAGTAACTAGATTTCTGTGATGTTTGATGGCCTGCCTCTGTCAAATATGGGATTGGGCAGCCCAGAAGCAGTATTTGGGTTCAGTCAAAACTCAAGGTTCACAAAGTCATAGGTTAAAAGTTGACAATAACAATTTGGATTTAAAACGGGGAAGGCTAGATATCACTGAAGCTGGTTTGTCGAATTTCCCTGAGGTCTCTCCGAGGACGTAGGACTGGCCCTGAGAGACCCGATGACCGGTTTTCTGAGGGAGAGATGAGATGGAGCATGAAACATCTGAGCTTTGGGATGCTAGGAGTGCTCCATACTAGCAGAGAATGAACTTATGCATTGCAACATCTGCAAACGCTGATCACTTTAATTAAAAACTAAACTCAAGTCAATCATTCATAGTTAATATATTACAACACTGCCGAAGAATTGATCTCTGAAGAAATCCTGTCTTTGGTGTGAGCAGGCCGCGGGATCAAATCTTGAAGGTGTTCTTCATAAAATGAAGGAAGATAAACAGGCAGAACGATGGGATAGTCGCACTAAACAACATACGGAAAACATACGGAAAATACCAGTTGCAGCAAGTTGTAGTAGTTGCTGACTCCATGAACTTCTATGAATATCTTAACAACACTAGACAGTAAAAAGCAGTCGCATGAAGTAATGGCAGACCACAGTTCAGCGTCACAATTCAATTCGAGTTGGAATCACTTTCTCTCCAGCCTTCCAAACTTGTAGCCTGATTAAAAGACTGAAGGTCCGAAGGCCAGGGTTTAGGATAATGGCAGACCACATCGCAACAATAAGCATACAGTGGGTCATTTCTTTTGCAAATCATACTTGTTTGTCCACATATTACCGAGTGAAATGGCAGCTGCTAAACGAGATCACCCAGAAGTTAGTAGTCTTAAGAACTCTTCTTTGTCAGAGCTGTCACAGGCAGACTTACGAGTAGAAGGCACATAGTATTGTGATGGCCTCAACTCTATACAATTCCAATTCGTCATCTAATCTCCCTTCCTTGTGCACCTATATCGACAAACAGCAATTTCGGACATAGTAGTTCTACCACAGATTCTGCCTTCCAAAAATGGAATGTGTCTCACAAAAATTTACAATGAACATACATCAAAATTATGATCCAGATCAAGCATGTAATCCTTCTCCAACATCCCTCACTAAGCTTCAGAGCTTCATTCTCCAGATTGCCGGCCCCTGCGGCATCTAATCTCTTGTATGAGCACAACAACTGCAAACGTTGATCTCTTCATACATCACAAATTAGTGAAGCTCCCTATTTTAAGGTGTTGCACCTGTGTAATTAATCATTTTTCAACAGCCTCTTTTGGTTCCTCAGCCTGATCAGGTTGATTCGATTTAAGTGATCCATTTACCTTTTTTTTCCACGCAGATGAATCAGCATTCAAAACTATTTGCTCCATCAACAGTTGCAACTCAAGAGCTTCATAAATCATCTCTTTGTTGTGAAGTCCATCAATCAAGCTATTCAATATAACACTGTCCAATTCAAACCCCTTGCTCTGCATCTCAAGTACATACTTCATTGCCAGTCCCGTCTCTCCAGCCCTGCAAAGGCCCCTTATTAGAGCCCAGTACGTATCAGCGTTCGGGACTACACTTCTCTCATCCATTGTACAAAATGAAGAAATCGCACTATCCACAGACCTCAACCTAGAATAGCCACTTATTATCAAATTGTACAAATGAGTGTTCACTTTCAATCCTTTATCATGCATCTCCCCAACCAGCCTCTCAGCTTCTTCTACCTTCCCTGCGCTTGTGAACCCATCAATCAAGAACTGATACGTCTTGATATCGAGCGCCACTCCTTCCTTCTCCATCAAAAGCAAAACCCTATCCAACTCTACAAAGTTCCATCTCTTAGCACAAGCATCCACCATTGTATTGAATGTAATGATATTGGGTTTAGTCCCTCTCCTCACCATCTCCTCCACCAACTCTCTACTCCTTCTAATCTCCCCACTCCTACATAACCCATCCACCACAACCGTTAAAGAATAAACCGAAACCTCAGTGCCCGATTCGCGCAGCCGATACAAGAAACCCAAACCCTTTTGCACCTCATCACATCTAATAAGAGTAACCAAATGCACAGTACAAGTTCTCTCATCAATCCGGATCCCATTATTCCTCATGTGATCAAAAGTCTCCAAAACCCGGTCCCAATTTTCGCAATCCGAATACACTTTAAGCATGGAATTGAACAATTTGGCTCTAACTCTAGGTTCAAGGCAGCAAATTTCAACAGCAGAAGCAATTACATGAAAAGGGTACCTGTTATTTTCATCAACGGAGACATATCTGAGGATTTCCTCGGCATCGTCGAACTTTCTTGTCTGGAGAAGCCTGCAGAGGATGGTCAAGTGGGCATGGAGGTCGATCTTGAAGGAGATTAAAGATTGGTTTTTGAGGAGGAAGTTGAAGAAAAGCAAACATTTGGAGGTTCTGAATTTGGGGTCGGAGAGAATGAAGCGGAGGGAGTTGCGGTTGAGGTTGGAGAGGAGGGTGATGGTGGTGGCTTCGAGAGGTTTTGGGGGTGTGGAGATGAGTTCTGTGAATTCTTGATAGAGTCTGGCGGGCGTTATTTTCACAGTTTTGAGGGTTCTGAGGACGTTTTGGAGCGACATTTTTTTAGATTTGGAAGTTGGAAGTCGGTCACAATGGTCTAAAATATCAATATTATCCGGATATTTTAATCGAAATTTTCGTATTTTTGGACTACCGATATTTTCGATATCATCGATATTTTAGACCTTGGTCACAACATACAACTCCTTTTTATTGTGTGCTCCGTTTAGCGTTTGGTGTTGAGCTATTTTGGGAGGTGATTTCAGATTTCATTTTTAGGAAAGGGATCCTTTCCGGATACCTTCCACCAAGTCCTCATGACCTACCAATTCGGACCCTTAAAATTTGATTCAATGGCTAAAGTTATTATAACTTTTAATGGAGCTCTCTGTTTTTAGCCGTTTGATCAAATTTCAAGAGTCCGGATTGGTGGATCATGAGGATTTGGTGGAAGAGATCCGGAGAGGATCATTTTCCTCATTTTTAGGGGTGTAGTAAATTTGGATTTAGGTTTTAATGAATTTTTTTAAGTGACAGACTAACATTTGCCTACATACTTTGTGTGTATCAACACATTTTTTTAGAAAAATGGGAAGGAGTGAGGGAGAGAGAGAACGTGGGGTGGTGGGAGGTTTTTGTTTTTATTTTAATTTTAAATATTAGAGATATTTTAACATCATCGGTAGGTGATGTTTTAATAAAAAACAGTAAAATTTGGACCTATGGAATGACATTATTGCCCATCAATTTTTTGTATGATAGAAGATTAAATAGTCTTTTCACCCTTTCTTGGTTAACAAAGAGGATTTCATTAATGTAGTTTTAGATTTTAAAATGATTTTAATAGACTTTAGAAATCTATATGATTTTAACATATTTATATGGATTTTTATTATAGATTTCTATGAATTTGTATGGACTTCTTTCATAAATTTTTATATATTTATAGTTGATTTCTACAAAATAAACGATATAAAAATTTGACACACAAAGTAGAAATTCAGATAAAGTAACCACAACAAAACACATTGTAAAAGCTCAAGGTCATGTACTGGTCTGCTATGCATCAATATCCTCATCACCCAATATTTGTCAATGAAAATGCTAAATGGATGAATACACAATCTGTTCGTCTGGAGGAATTTCCGGTGGGGACGTTTCTTGGCCGACGAGCACACAGCTCCCCGAGAGGTTGGCACCGGTTGATATTGTCTGTCGGGCTTCTGCTTATTGGCGGGCTGTAAGAGAATGACAGAGTTAATTCTGAAAGGTGCATTTGTGGGGCCTTAGGTGTAGGCCTTGAGGCTCACAATCAAAACTAACTTTAGGTGTTCAGGAGTGTCACTGCCATCTTTAGCATGACAGATGTAAAACAAATGTTTAGTTTTAATTGTATATGCCCGAGAGACCGAGTTAGCTATGAAAGGTGCCTTTGTTGGGCCTTAGGTATAGGCCTTGAGGCTTCCCATCAAAACTAACCAAGTACTCGAACATATAGTGGTTGTTTCATTGTTGCAGAAGTATTACAACTGTTATCCTTTAATCGCTCGAGCCCGAAGAGGAGAACGAACCCAGATAGGTGCCTTTGTAGGGCCTTAGGTATAGGCCTTGAGGCTTCCCATCAGAGTTAATTCTATACTCAAGCGTTCTATGGCAATCATAATATAACAGAAGTAAAACTGAAAAATAGGCTTATTACTTGCTCCCCAAGTAACTTCGGACTTCTTGTTATCAAGGACTGTCGTGGATGGGTTAAGTCCACATAAAGTTCTTTTTTTATGCCTTGAGACTAAGGACTTTTAATTGATCAATTTTGTATGCCCGAAGGGTTAGAACTTAGAAGTTTTTTAATCACAAACTTGCTAGAAATAACTTGGATACAGATGGAAGTATACATCATATTATTAGATTTATGAATAAAAAGACAAAACAAAGAGGGTCGGGCAAGGCTGATCGTCTTGCAACTTCCTCTCTTTGTGATTTACAAAGGGTTTGAATGCTAGAAGGGGAGATTGAAGGATGAGTTTACAGGAGGAAATCGATACTACATCAAGATTTAGACAGGGTAGCAAAGCTTTTACAAAGACTTTTTGGTGAAGGTTGATCCCGAAAGGGATGAAGGATTGGTGCTGACTACAGCTTCGTATGCAAATCTGGCTTGAGCAGAGTTTGTGTATTTGTTTGTTTGATTGAGTGCCATAATCCTAATTTCTCCTTCTCCTTTTATAGACGATTTGGCTTGGTTGTTTGCAGCATTATTCTTGCCCGAATGCAGCTGAAGGGTAGTGACTTATCAGCTTTTTACTTGTACTGCCATTATAAAGTACTTTTGGGCTGATTAGCTGGCTAGTCTACACCACTTGATCTCTACGTAGGTGATCAAGTAGCTTAAGCGAGCTGCACTTAGTCAGGAATAGGGCTTATTCCTTTTTCTAGGCTTCGGCTGGGCTTCGGCTCCCTTTCTTTTGGATCTGCTTTTGAATTAACCCCCTTTTGAGCCCAAAGTTCAAGTTTTAACTCAAACAGTGCCCCTTCAATTAATATTCAGGCTGGAATTCCAGGCCCCAATATTGATTGAATAGCCGCCCTTCACACCCACATCTTTACTTGGGACTTGTACCCTTTTAAAAAACAACCGTCATTTACCTGTGATCTCTCTACTGACCCACGAATCATTAGATATCCCTAGTACGAAATCCTCCCTTTTTCGATTTCCTATTTTCCCAGATATTTCACTTCTTCCAAATTTTCATACTTCCTTTTACTCTTCGCCCCATATCTTCTGCCTTCATCACCTTCTTGTCACACCTTCTTGTCACACCTCTTCCAAACTTATCAAATGGCTTCAGGATTCGGCCAAGTCTAGCTATTGTACGAATCTGGTGAAGGCATCACTACTTTACGTCGCTTACTCAACGGATTGCATCACCCTCGGGCATGTTTGTGCTTTGAACTTTTCTTTGAAGCGCACGGGGTACAATTGTTGGGTCCTGCATGGATTTCTAGCGTCCTTGCTGTGATAGAGAGTAATATGCCTAAGGGTAACTGGTTTACCCTAAATCCTTTCTTGGCTGAGTCGGGCATCTTTTCATCTAAGTGGTCATCATATCGTCGTGGCTTTCCTCTAATGAACGACCCAACTTGGACTCAGTGGATCGATGAATTAGAACCAACCTTCAAGAAGAAGTGGATGAACAATGGTATTTATGAACTAATAATGCTTTCAAAACCTACCATTATTCCCAAGCCCGAACTGCTTGCTACTTCTCTTCTTTTCTGGAACTCGGGCACAAATACTTTTGATTTTCACATGGGTCCCATGTCTCCAACTATTCTAGATATGGCCCAAGTCTTCGGGCTAAGACCGTCGGGCAAGATTGTAGATGTTACTCAATACTGGGATCCCTCTTCCTCTTCAATTGCTGAAAGCTTCGGTTCCTCTGCCTCTTTTCTCCAATTAGAATATAACTCTGCTACTTTTAAGAGTTACAGGACATCTTTCAAGGGATTCATCCCCTTTGTAAAGGAGAATTTTGGTGCAAATTCCTCTCATGCCAATAAAGATCAGGAACATATGTACTTCCTTTTATATTGGCTCAACAAGCATGTTTTCCCAAATAAATCTAAAGGGGTGAAGTTTGAATGGATCCCCTTAGTGGAAGCCCTCCACAACTTTGATGATGTAGCCACATGTCCATTTCTTCTTTCTCATCTCTATCATCTCCTCTTTGAAATGACTCAAGGCGAGCCATTTGAAACCAATCTAAATGGACCCATATGGATGATCCAAATATGGCTCCAATGGTATTTCCCAGAATTTTGGGTTGTTAACTTAGAATTCCCAAAAGGTGTTGCCCCTGCCCGAATATTAGTTGAAGCCGCTCATACAGATCACTCTATTTTCGCCTGTTTCTACTTCTTCAAAGTTTGTAGAACCCGATCATACTTGGAGTGGGGCGCTTCAGTTTTGAGGAGATATCCTTGGTTCTCGGACCAAGCCTTCCAAGACGCCCCCGGGGAGGATGCCACCTCATTTTGCAGGAAGAAATTTATCAGTTGTATTCAACCAAGAGACATAGCCTTGGGAGTTCATGGCAACCGCTATGATCGTGGGTTGGAAGTATATCACCCTAATTTTTGTAGCAGGCAATTAGGCTTTAGGTAAGCCATTCCCATCCCATTCTTTGATTTTGTTCACTGTGGCACTTCCTTTCGGTCACTATCCCCTTCATAAGTGACCTTTCGAGCGGCTCGACGAAGTCTTGAAGTTATGAATCAGGCTGCTCGAAAGTTTATAGTTCTTAACTTCGAATGTACTTCACTATTCTCCACCTAGTGGGAAGCCAAATGGACTAAGAAATGTGAAAGAGATTTGCGAGATACTCACGACCATCTTTTTAGCCAACTTTCCCTTAAATCATACCCAAGTTCGGGCGAACTTGAAAACTGGAAGGAAATGATTTAGCAGAAAAACCGGTTACTCTTGATAGATATTCCTTTTTCTGACTCTATTCTACCTTCCTTCAAAGTTATTTAAGTCTCATTTTTCTTGATCCTGCAGCTTAAGTAGATGTTGAATTAGCATCCATTGAATAAGATGATGATTCAGCTGATGCTGCAGTTCTTCATAGAGCCGCAGTAGAGGCTCAAAGATGAGAAACTGGAGAAGGTGGAGATGTTTCAGAATCTTTTGGAGATTCAGAATGTGAAGACACACCCAAGGCAAACATCAGAACGTCTAAGCGGAGAAAAGTAGTTGTGGTCGAGACCTCAGAATCTGAACCTGCATCACTAACCAAACCTAAACGGCCAATCCCCACCAGAAAGAGTAAGAGATCAAGGACTATCCAGGCTTCCAAGTCTTCAGCCTCGTCGGTTCCAGTTTCTAAGGCAGGCATAAAGAAGCAAAAGTCTTTAAGTAAGTTTTTTGCTTTCCTTTATCAGACTGTCACCTTTCTTCTTTATCTAATTGTCCCTGTTTTCTTTGAAATCAGAGCCTCAGGGAGGATCCACTAGGAGCTGAAATGCATAAAAAAGCTGAAAATCTGTAGAATGTCAC